TTGTTTCATTATAAAAATATTTTTCTATCATATCGGCAAACCAAAATTTGACATATAATATTGACGTAAATTCGCTTCCTTGTAAAAAAAAAAAATTAATTTTATTATTATTATTATTTTTTTCTTATCAATTTTATTATCAACATATCGTACCTGTTTGAATTAGGTACATAATGTTTTACAATTAATTAAAATTAATTTTGGTTTTCCGATATAAATTAAAATGACAATACATTAAATTGATGCTTAAATTTTTTTTTTATTTTAAAAACCCGCGAATAAAACGATTTGTAAACCATTTTCATTGTTACCAACCTAATAAACAATCATAAACGATGTTTAACATGTGCTGTGCAGTTAGGGACGCAGGTTTATTCTCAAATAAAAATTATTATTATCTTGTGGAAAATAAATAAATAAATATCCATCCATGAAATAAATAAATATTATTTAATTTTTTATTATTATAAAGGTAACGTTTTAAATTATTTTTACGTATTATTTTTATTTATGTTTTTTTAACATTATGTACATATACGTTATTAATGGTGTAATAAATAATAATAATAATAATATTTAAAAAAAAGAAAAAAAATTACATATAATATCCTCCAGCAATAACTGTTAAGCCCGAAATATAATAATTATTATTAAACATTTATTTTTTTAACACAATTATTATTATTATTATTATTATTATTATTATTATTATTATTATTTGACGTTTTTTTTTTAACTCCAGGTGATTATTATTATTATTATTATTATTTTTTTTTTTTTTAAATAATTAATTATTATAACTTTATTTATTTACTTTTTTTAAATGTAAGTATATTTGGGTGCCTTTTTTTTCATAACGAGCTTTGAGGTGTGTTATTAATACTAAAGCAAATAACGGCACATAAATAAATAATAATAATTAATAATAATAATAATAATACTCAACATTATTGTTATTATTAATAAATATAACGGCACTAGTTGTAAATTTTTTTTTCATTTTTATTTTTAATAATTAATATGTTTTTAACCGTATAAAATGACAAATATTACTCATTATTAAACAAAAAAAAATTAATTTATTAATTTATTTATTTCGATTGTTTATTATTATCATCATTTTTTTTTGTTTATTATTAAAAAAAAAAAATGACGCTTACCTAGGTTAAGAAAGGAGAAGGTAAATAAACTACATATTTATTAGTTTGGGTTGTTAACTTGAGACTGTGATTTGAATAATTTGAGTATTTTGTCCTTATAATAATAATAATAATAATAACCGACTCCTTTCTCGCCTTTTAAGCTAAATCGAAATTAATAATAATAATAATAATAATAATAATAATAATAATAATAATAATAATAATATAATTAATTAATAAATAATATATATATTTAATAATATTAATAAATATTTAATTTTAAGATATTAATTATATATATATATATGAGTGAATTATTGTTACGAACTTAATTGATTGATTATTAATTTAATAAGTAATTAAATTTATTTAAATAAATAAATAAACGTATATACATATACATACATACATATTTACATAAACGATGACGTATGTGTATATACATATATTATTATTATTAATATTCTGTCTTTTACCAAAGAATTGTTGGTTGAATTAATTGTTTGTGATTGACGTTAGAGTTGATTATAATGAGAAATCGGATAAGATTGATTATTATTATTATTATTATTATTATTATTGGTGGGGGACCATATTTATTATGGATGCCAAATAATTAAAATTTTTTTTTTTTCAAATATTGGGTTAATCGACGTGAGAATGATAAAATAATAATAATATTAATTATTAAGATTTTTTTTTTTTAACTGTAAACAAAAAAAAATTATCGCTGTGTATTTTCGATGTTTTCGTTGGTAAATTTAATAAATACTAATTATTAATATAATAATAATAATAATTCATAATAATAAGTAATAATAATAATAAAGATAAGGATAAATAAATAAATAATAATAATAATAATGTGTCATAGCTTAATTTTAAGTTATTTGTATTAAGTAGTTGTTCTTATTATATATATATATAAGTGCTTTAAAATTATGATAAAGGTTTTAGATTTTATAATATTTACCTTTTTCTAAAATTTATTTTTCCTTATTTGTTTTAGGATTTTCTTTCGAAGAGAGAAAAAAACCTTTTTTTCCTTTTGTGTGAAAAATATGAAAAATTAAATTTAAATGTTTTTTTTTTTTTTTGTTTTGTTTGTCTGCAATTGCAATTCCTAACGAAAAAAAAGAAAAAACTAAAATGAATTCAAGAGATTTTCAAAAGATTTTTTTGAAGAATAGAAAGAAAAAAAATCCCTCATCCACAAGTATGTTATTTTACATATAATTAACTTTAATTTAATGATAATAATAATATTAATTATCATTCTCTATGATTTAAATCCGTCGTTAACCGTTAAATTTTAGGTTTTTTTCTTTTCTTTCCATAACGTTAATTAAAAGCAACTTGTTTAGCATAATTATCACAATCTTTTATTATAACCTCATCAAAATTAATAACAATTTAATGTAAATAATTTTATTTATAGGTAAAAAGAGAAAAAATTTAAACGTATGTCTTCTTGTCACATTGTTATTTAAATGAAGGATCGTGTAGCATGGAAAACGAACCTCCTTCAAGTACTTTCAAGTACCTTCCATATTCGGTAAGTCATAAATAATTTTTTTTTTTTTTTTCTTCGTTGGGTCAGTAGGATTATTGGGTACCTCACAGTACGTGAATTTTTTTTTAACGGTTATTTTTTTTTTATTACTCTTTCGAAACGTCGGAGGGAAAATTTTTTTAAAATGCATTTAAACTTTTTTAGTATTTAATAATTAACTTTTTAAACTTATAAATAAAAGGAACAAAAAAAAAGTTCACGCACACATGTTCAAAAAATAATTTTTTTTTTTTATAAATATTTATTCGTTAAATTTAAATTTTAAAAAAATTTCCTTTAAAAATTTTTTTTTTTTTAATTGAATGAATTATTTACGTGAACACATTTTTTTTTTTTTTTTAAATTTGTAAACATTATTTTTTTAAATAGTTTATAATGTTTTATTATATAAACAAAAAAAAATTATTTATTTTAATTAAAACGTGGTTTTAACGGTTTTTGTTTACGTCACGTCACATGTTGTCAAAATTTATTTTAACTTGGTTGGGATTTTTTTTTTTTCGAATTTGAAAATTACAGGATGTGATTGAAAAAAATTAATAATAATTATTTATTTATTTATTTATGAATTTTATTGAAAAATATTTTTTATTTACATTTTTACACGTTTAAAAATAATCATCGAACGTGGGGAGAGAGTAGGGAGGAGGGAGGGGATACAGAACATTTTTAATTTATTGCAATTTTATAATTTTGAAAAAATTTTTTTTACTATATGTTATTATTATTATTATTATTGATAAAAATGCTGTTGTGGGTGGCGAACAATTTCAATGTCAAGATCAATTCAAACAAGCACAAACGTATAAATAATGAATTGATTTTATTTTATGTAATTAAATTGAAATTTTTTCTGCCTTTTTTTTGTCGTTTGTGTTCAAATTTTATTAAAATTAAATGGCGTTCATATTTATTAAATAGTTTTAATAAATTAAATGAAAAATTGTTTCATATAACAAAATTTTTTCACAAAGTTATTAAACGAAACTTTTTTTTTTTTTTTATAACTGCAGGCAGTTTTATAAAAAGTCTTTGATGTCTATGGCTTTCAGTCGGTTTTTTTTATTTAATGCCTTTTTTTTTTGATGAAAGTTTTTTTTTTTTTTATATATTATAAAATATCGAGATGAACGATCACGATGTGTAAAAAAAAAAAAAATTTTAATTTTTTAAACTTTCATGCAATAAGTAACTTTAATCGTAAAAATAAAAATAAATATAATATGATGTCGATGGTTTTTCGATTCATAAAAGTCTGTGAAGTCTTGAAGGTCTCTTACTTTTTTCAATGACGTAAAATGATTTGGGTTTTCCGTTTCCGGTAAAATATTTGTAAAATGAATTTTGTTTAGGAATGGCGGGTACGTAATAATTAGGACCGTGATTTTTATTTTTTATCTTAGATACTTCGTTAACGTATTTTTGATTTAATTTTTTGTTTATGTAATTATTGTTTTTTGTATTTTCTTGAAAACGATTTCCTCCGTGTTTTTCGGTTATCGATATATTTTGTATCGGAGAATCTGATTCCACGTGTAAACTGTTGACATTCGTGTCATTCAAACCGTAATCGTTAAATCTGTACAATTTATTCCTGTGATATTTGATTACTTTGAAACCGTTATCCGATTTGTCTTCGTATTTGTTTTTATGTTTGTTTTTCTTATGTATATCCTGTCGGGAATATTTTGATGGCGTTTGATTGGGTAAAATTTTTATGTGGTAAATTTTGCTGTCTTCATTTGCGTTTCGAACGATTCCTTTTTTCGCTTGTGGCATTTTTTTCAAAACCGGTATGTTCCAGTGATATATTTGTCCGGGTTTTCCATTTGTTCTGAAACTCGTTGCCGGTTTGGACGATGCTTCGTTTTTAAATTTTTCCGGTTTCATGTGAGAATAATATGGTGAATGCGGAGGAAGTTTAACGACGAACATTCGTGAATCCGAATTGGAATTGTAAAAATCATTATGATATCTTGCTTTGTTCGTTTCGAGAGCTACTCTTTTGTTGTGATGATTTACTGGAGTTCTTTGTACGAGATCAAAACCCAAACGTTTAAGTATGGCGTGAGTTGATTCTGTTGTTAATTTACTCTTGGTTATTGATATCACCGAGATTAATATTAATAATTGTATTGATTTCATTTTGTCTGAAACAATAAACCAACAAAAAAAAAAAAAAAAAATTAGTGATGATGCTGATACGTTGGATGAGCTCATGTTATTTACAATTCGGTAGGTATAGATTACGAAAGGGAACTTTCAGAATATAGAAGGGAAGTTAATAAAAGAGTAGAAAACTTTCGACATGAGAGAGCAAAATGGATGTCTCGTGCGGTCGAGGAAGTAAAGGTCAAAGTAGATGTTGCCGAAGAAGTCGATTCAAATCTTTATAATGGAAGGTCAGTATCATGATGATAAAATAATTAAAAAAAAAAAAAAAAAGATGGATTTATTCGATGGATTTTATTGAAAAATTAAAAAAAAAATTTAGGTTTTTCATATTAAAAAAAATGAATTTTAAAACGATTTTCCTTCGAACCCACCATAAATCCCTTCGACCATTAAAATATTACACATTAAATAGAAGATTAAGAAATGACGTTGTTGAAGATATTCCAAAACCAACGCCAATGAGAAAAACTTTCAACGAACTACTTAAAAGGGATTTGACTGTACCCAATTTAAAATCTGTAAAAAAATTTCCAAAAGCTAAGGAAGATGCCACGGAATCTAAAGTCGAGAAAAGTCAATCTATTTTAGAAAAATTAAGAGCGGCAGCCAAAAAAAAAAGAAGACCAATAAAGGCGTGTACCTGCGAACATGGAAAAGAAATTACATTTGTAATTAAAGGTGTTTGCCTTTGCGACAACAAACACTTGAAAAATTTTGAAACCGATAAATCGTGCGGTGAATATTGTAAATCGAGAATAAGCAGAATGCAAACACGTTCGGACCATAAAGGGGATATGAAAGTAAGGGATTCAATTGAATTGTATAAGACTAAAAAAACCGAATCTGGTACTAATGTTCCGGATTTATCTGAAAAAAGTCTTCAAAAAAAAGTCACTTTTGTAGACGGTCCTCTAGAGAAAAATGGGAGTAAAGATACAATAAAGAAACAAAAATGTTTTCCAATTAATTACGATTACGACAAAGATAATCCTCCTACCGTCAAAACAAGTGCTCCAAAAAACCAACAAGAAAAGGAGAATAAAACTGGTAAGGTTGAAGGTGATGGTGGTGTTGATGCTGTTGGTGAAAACGCCGGTGGAGGTGGTGTTACGGCTGTTGGCCAAGACGGGGGGGGTGGTGGTAAAGCCGGTGGAGGAGGTCTAGTTGATGCTGTTGGTGAAGTCGAGGGTGATGGTAGAGCCGGTAAAGGCGGTGATGCAGCCCGTAAAGGGGGTGATGTAACCCGTAAAGATGGTGATGGAGCCGGTAAAAGTGGTGAGGTAACCCGTAAAGGTGGTGATGGAGCCGGTAAAAGTGGTGAGGTAACCCGTAAAGGTGGTGATGGACCCGGTAAAAGTGGTGAGATAACCCGTAAAGGTGGTGATGGAGCCGGTAAAAGTGGTGAGATAACCCATGTAGGTGGTGATAGAGCCGGTAAAAGTGGTGAAGTAGCCCGTAAAGGTGGTGACAAAGCCGATAAAAGTGGTGGTAAAGCTGCAGGTAAAGGTGATGACGAAGCCGGTAAAGGTGGTGATGAAGTTGATGATGAGGATTATGATTATGAAAGTGATAGTGATGATGATAAAAAAGAAAAAAAGAAAAAGAAAATTGCGTTAACAGGAAAAAATTCATCTTTAATGACATTGTATAAAAACGTAAAGAATCGAAATTCATCGGATATTGGATTAACAGATGAGCAAAAAGAAAAAATTTTTTTAAAAAATAATTAATAATTACAACTTTTCTCTGACTCTTTCATCATATTTCTCTCTCTCTCCCCTGCGCCCCCGCCCCGCATAATGAAAATAAAAAATTTCTAGTAATAATATTTTAAAAAATCACGTTTTGTCTTTTTGCCAAAAAAAAAAAAAAAAAATTCTCACAGTAAAAGCTTTATGAAAAATTTTACCAAGTGTCGAGTATAATTACTAATAATTACAACCGGGTACTAATCATTTTATTATTATTATTATTTTTTTTTAAATGTATATTTTATCACGAGTCGCTAAATAAATAACGTTCATTTATTTATTTAATTTATTATTATTATTATTAGTATTTTTCAACGTTAATTTTTAACTTATAACCGATTTAAAAAAAAAAAAAAAAGTTTCGTTTTAAACTTTATCAGAAAATAACAAACAACAACAACACACTCGATTGAAACATTTTCTATATAAAAACTAATTGTATTAATTATTTTTTGGATATTTACCTATAATCGAGATTAAATTTTTTTCATATTTTCTTATCATTATTATTATTATTATTTTGAACACCACTTATCTAAAATTATGTTAAAATCATACATATATAGAACCGCCTCCTGTGACGTCGCCACCACATTTTTTAAAAAAATTTTTTTGAAAAATACCAGATACTCATCTGCAAAACAATTTAAAATTTTATAATATCAAATATCTTTAACTTATTCATTCAGGCACAACCTAAAGACAAAAATATCTGTCTGGTATATCATACACACATACTCTCTCTCTCACACACACATTTACTCCCGGCCATTTTTTTTTTTTTTAAAGAAAAAATTTCAAATAAAAAAAAAAAATAGAAAAGAAAAGAGTTAAACCTAATTTAAACGTGGATTTTTCTTTTGGTTACAACATAATAATAATAATAACGTATATGAAATTTTTTTTTATCACGGAAAATATTTTATTTAATTATTTAATAATTTCATCGGTTTGCCCAACCATGACCTGAAGGTGTACACGCACACGCACGCACACGCACACACACACAAACACATGAAATTTTTCGAAAACAAAACGTCAGGAAAGAAATTTAGACCGCAAAATAAATAATTTTTTTTATAATCTACGTGAAACGAAAAAAAAAAATTGACAAGCCACAACAACCTTATAAAAGGATTTATATATACGCCATTTTGAATTTTTTTTTTTTTATACTAGTAAATTATAATTTTCAATGATTTTTACAACTATTATTACCAACATATTTATTTTACTATATTTTTAAATGTGAAAAAAAAAATTTTCTTCTTTGATTTAACCGCACTTGAAGTCAATGTATGGATGAAAAGTGGGGAAGGAAGGAAGGAAGAAAGGCAGGAATGAATGATTTAGGAAAAAATGAGAATTTCATGTAATATTTAACTTTTATCTAAAATAACATTGGAATTTCCTAATTAGATTTTTTCGTATAAAAAAAAGTTTTTTGATGGTGAAAACCGGAAATGACGTTTTTCTTTTTTTTTTTTTTTTCTTGTAACAAGTTTGTTGTATTTGGTAGAAGAAAAAGAAAAGGAAAAAGATAAAATAATTTTTATAGTTTTAAAAAAAAATTTGTTTAAAATTATTTTTTTAAATAAAATTTTATTTATCATTTTTAACAAAATGGCGACCGTTAGTTTAACAGGAAAGAAAAAAACCATAACACACAAAATGGGTTGAAATAAAAAAAAAACTTGATTTACAAGAAACATGTTAAAAAAAAAAAAAATTATTCGCATCGTACCTTTAAGGTATTATTAGGTTTCCGACCTTTTTTTTTATTTTATTATGAAAAGGTGTTGAAGTAATAAAAATTTTTAATTTTATATTTAAAAAAAAAAATGCATTCGGCATATTTTAATAATATTTAAAATTCGTTTTTAAAAAAAAATCATTTTATTAATTATGATTCTTTTTATGTTTTTGTTTTTTGCGAACAACATAATTGTGTTCGAATACGTAATTACGTCATTATTTAAAAAAAAATTACTCTTAATTGTCGATACTCATAAATATATATTTTAAACTATTGTAAATTCAATAACGAGAAACGTAGCCATTTTTTTTTTTTTTTATAATAATTTTTAAACGTGAAACAAAATGAAAAAAAAAATTATTTCTAACAACCATCAATCTTTTTTTTTTTTAAAGTGTTAAAAGAATGGTTGTTAGTTGCTTATTAAATAATGATTTACTATATTTTAACCCCTAGCAATCAATAAAACCTTAATAACAAAAAAATAGAAAAAAGTTTTCATAACATTTTCTTATTAATTATCGACTAATAAAAAAAAAAAAATTTTCCTCCGTGATGATAGTTTTTTCGTATGGATAATTTTATTTTAAAATTATTATTATTATTTGCTAACGTTCATGTTTTTATTTTTATTTATTTTTTATTCAAAAATAATTTTTATTTGTCTTCCATTTTAAATTTAACCGTCGCCAACATTTAAATTTAAACGTAGAATCACGTGATTATGACGTAGTGATGACGTAGATGATTTTTATTTACGTTTTTCCGTCTTCAGTTTATTTACACGTCGTTTACACAAAGCTAAGTACGTTTTCATTTATTTATTTTTTTTTAAATAACGTTTAAAAAAAATGTCTTTGTTCATAACAATAAGTTAGTAAAAAAAGACATTTCCTTTACTTACGTAAAAAAAAAAAACTTTTAAATGTTTTTAAATTTAATAAAAAGAAATATTTGACCGTGAAATGATGGATACAGGGGAGGTTACAAACGTTTAATTTAAAAAAAAAAAATTATGGTTGTTATTAAATTTAAAAAGAAAAGAAATTATACCCTTTGGGTTTGTTTGTAGGTTATATATATACGTTTTGCACGATTAAATTTTTTTTTTTTTTCTTTTTCCTAAGTGCAAATTTACACCAAATTGCCTAAGGTTAATATCTTTATTTAGTTATGAAAATGTATTCTTTAACCACGATGAATAAAAAATATGGACTTTCTTTTTTTTTAAAAATAATTTTAATGGTTCAATAAAAATAGTTTAGTATCCATTAAATAATATCGTGTAAAAGGGAGAAAAAAAAACTTGCTAAAATTTTTTTTTTATTATAAAATAATCGGTCTCATTTTAATGGGGAGAGAAAGAAGACAATAAAAAGAGAAAATAAAAATTATAGAGAAGAGAAGAGAGATAGAAAGAGAGAGAGAGTAATTTACATGTTTTTCGTTTTATTTAGCGTAACTCTTATTAATTCAACCAGAAATTTTAAAAAAATTGCATTTATTTAAAATTCTTTAAATAAACATTTTTAAATGACACCAACAGTAAATTTCTCCCTTTTTAATAAATGAAATGACGTCATCATGCCCTAATAAAAATTATTATTATTATTTAAAAAAAACGTTGACAGATTACATTAAAAAACTATTAAGTTAAAAACGAAACGTTAAGCTTTTTAAATTATTATTAATTAAAAAAACATAAATAAATAAATAAATTGGGAGGGGTGGGGGCGGGCATTATGGTTTTGTTTAGGGTTATTTATTAACAACCATCAAATCGAGATGATACATTAATAATAAATTATTTAAATAATTTTATGAGGATTTTTTTTAAAATGGGCTTTCGAATTCAAATTATTTTATTTGAAATGTTATGAGAAAAAAAAATAAAGATGGCGATTCAAACTTAACAATATTTATTAATAAATGTTTTTCTTTTGTGTGTTGTATTTTTATTACGAGGTTTCTAGAATATTCTTTATAAAAAAAAAAAAAACCAGGTGTGTTATTTAACAGATGTACACGTTTTTTCTATGTGACCATTGTCCACGTGAAAATGTCATAAACATGAGTTGAAATTAATAATAATAACACGATGATGATGATGTTGTCATTGATAATTTCACACACACAAATAATCCGCCGAATAATTTTTCTAAAAATAAAATAATAAACCGAAAAAAGATGTGGGAGGTGGAGGGAGGGAAGGGAAAATTATTTAAACAATTATTTACAATGATTAATAAAATTTAAAAAAAAAAAAAAATTTTATTAATGTCATGAAACGATTATGCAATTTTAAAACGATGACATTAAAATTATATTAATTTTACTAAAAAAAAAAAAAAACATAAAACGTTCGTTTGTTTAAAAAACAAACAAGAAACAAACAAACGCGGGCTTGCACACAGAGAAAAAAAATTGTTTGTTAAATAATTTGAAAAAAATTTTTTTTTAATAACAAAACAATGTCGTCATTGTTTTTTGTTTTTGTCTGAGTTAAAAATAAAATTTTCATTTATTTAATGTGGCCAAAAAAAAAATTTTTGAGGTGTTTTTGTTGTTGTTGTGTTTCCGTCATGGAAGATTGAATCTTTTTTATATTTGCCAAATAAAATGTTAATAACAATTATATAACGCAATAAAATAAAAATAAAAAATTTTTTTTCGGTCGAGCGACAAACAAAAAATAACCGACGACGACGATTTCGTTTTCGACTCGTACAAACAATTTATGGGGATTATTGTTAGTTATAATAATAATAACGTTAACATTAATAACTTTTTCTCCACTTTTTTATATTATTATCATTATTATTATTATTATTGATAAAACGATTTAAATCATTCTAATAAATAATATTAATAAATTCCTTAAGGGGATATTAATAATTTAAAAAAAATGCCAACCCCGTTCAATAGATTTTATCTATTTCTTTGTTAATACATATAATTTTTTATTTATTATTTATTTATTTATTTATTCTTTAGTTATTATTTCCATTCAGTTTTTTTTACGCGCTCTCTCTCTCTCTCACTCTCTCACTCTCTCTCTCTCTCTTTCTCTATCTATTTTTAATTCATATTTCATTTACAGTTAACAACAATACAATAATAACAACAAAAAAATGAATCATCCATTATTATTATTATTATTATTAATAAAAGTACCAGACGGGAGTTTTT